TCCATGTTGAACATCTTCCCCTCCTGGGGCTTGGCAGCGCCTCCCCACCAAACCAGAAACCGCTGCTGCTCGGGTCTGGGGCTGATTCTGGAGGGTCCGGGCACCTGACCTGGTCTCTAGCCCACCTTCTCCTCGGGCCGGGCCACCGACTCTCGCCCTGACGCTAGCAGCGGCTCCAGCACCGTTTGATGTTGCTTTCTTAACGATGGTCTGGGAGACTCATCCAACTCTTTCCACTTTGGCTGCTGAACCCAGCACACCTCTGAGTACTGATTTAATTCTTTTCCAGTTATTATTTTATTGCTTTTCACTATATTTTATGCTATGAGATTATTTAAGGCCCCCAGGATGTTGGATGTTCAAACTCCCTAGTCAGCTCATGTGACAGTTTACTTCTATAAAGATTTCACAACCTTGGGTACCTTTTGGAATAGTTAGACTTTGTCTTGCAAGGTCACTATGAGTTGAACTTGACTTTACAGCAATGAGGGGTGGTGATTTTGCTTTTTTAAGATTATTAAAAATTGTCTTTATATTTTGGTCAAAAAAGTGCACAGCAGTTGTTGTTAGTTGACACTACGTCTCATAGTGACCCTGTGAACAACAGATCTGAATCATGTCCTATCCTGCACCATCTTCAAGATCTCTGATATGGCTAGCCCATTGTTCTAGTCACAGTGCCAATCTATCTTGTTGGGGGTCTTCCTCTCTTTGACCCTCAACATGTCCTAGCATGATGTTCTTTACCAACAATTGGCCCTTTCTGACAATATGCCCAAAGTAATGGGACAAAGTTTCATCTTTGCTTTTGAGGAACACTCAGATTGCACTTCCTCCAAGACTTACTGCTTTGTTCTTTTTGGCAGTCCATGAGATATTTAGCTTTCTTCAACACTACAACTCACATTCTTCCCTGGCATCCTTATGAATTGCAGGCAACTAGACAGCACATAACAACACAAATAGCAAATATTCATTGTCACACTTTCAGAAGCATAGGAAGTAATTGAAAATACCATGACTTGAATTGGGTCCACTTTAGTCTTTAAACTGACATTCTTACCTTTTTAGCACTTTGGAGAAGTCCTTGAAAGCAGGTTTTCTCAGTGTAGTAAGTCTTGGTTTCTCTCTCTTTTAAAAAAATTTTTTTTAAATTGTATTATTTTTGGGTGTACCATCAATCATATCTGACTGGTACAGAAGGAGATTGCCCCCTCCTTGTCCAGCAGAGCATCTGGTGGATTTGAACTGTGTACCTCAAAAGA